ACACATGAATTGGAATAGCATAGGATCACACACTTACGAGGCACAAGTTAACCTTTCCCAGATGCAAGCATTTTCCCTCATTTAACATTTAAATATGTCATCACTAATCATCAGGAAAATGCAAAACCAAACCATAATGAGGTCTTACTTATTAGAATAGCTTTTATCAGAAAGATAAGTATTGGCAAGCTATGGAGAAAAGGGAACCTTTACACACTTTTGCTTGGAATGTAAATTAGTACAGCCATTATGGAAATAGTATAATTCCCTAAAAATTTAAAATAGACCTACCATATGATCAAGCCTTCTTACCAGTGGGTACATATTCAAAAGAAATGAAATCAGATGCAGAGAGAGATACTTACATGCCCATATTCATTACAGGATTATTCCCAGTAGTTAAGATACAGACTTAAATGTCCATTGGCAGATGAATGGAATGAAAGCATGGTATGTAGAATGCTGTTCTGCCTTTAAAAATAAAGAATCTCTGTTATTTCCAACAATATAGTTGAACCTGGAGGACTTTATGCTCAGAGAAATATTCTAGGCACAGAAAGACAAATAACACATGATTTCACTTATAGGGTGGAATCTTAAAAAGTCAAGCTCATGAAAGCAGAGAGTAGTACACTGTTCAGCTACCAAGGGCTAGAAATGAACATGTGGAAAGATATTGGTCAAAGAAAAGAAAATTTTAATTAAACAGGAAAAGTAAGTGCAAGAGATCTACTGTACAGTATGCTAAGTACAGTTAATAACATGTACTACAATGCTTGAAAATTGCAGGGGTAGATATTAAGTATTCTCACCACACACACACAGACATGATAGTTAAGGAGTGTGTTCATTAGCTTGATTTAGCCATTCCACAGTATATACATCTATCAAAACCTAATGTACATTATAAATATATACAAGATTCTCAACTTTTTTAAGTATTAAGCATATCTATGACTTAAGGGAGACACTTTCTTACGGGGGTTTCCGTAGTGTAGTGGTCATCACGCTCGCCTAACACGCGAGAGGTCCCCGGTTCGAAACCGGGCGGGAACAGTTAACTGTTTTTGCTCTCTTCAAGAATCAAAAGCGCTGACAGGCCGCCTGCTCTCCAGAGACGGCGACCGGCGACCGAGGGGCCGTCCCAGAGGAGGATGTATTCTCTTCTCTCCCAAGAAATCCGGAAAGTGAGACTGGCGGTACCAGAGTTTTCCTACTTTCCCCTTACAGAGGAACGGCTATGGAGTTCTTTTTTCACTAGATGCGCTCGGATACTCATTCATGGCCTTGACAGTCACTGTGTCAGCTGAAACTTAAAGATAATTAAGTGGTGACCAGCATGTCCCTGACTAAATCTAAGGTTTGTGGAGTCACTAGTAAGTGGGGCGTTAGCTCAAGTGGTAGAGTGCTTGCCTAGCATGCGAGAAGTGGTGGGATCGATTCCCACGTCCTCCATGGTCTTGCATTTAAATAATTGAAGACGTTTTTGAAGAAAACGAGAAATTTTTGAACACTTGGAAGCGCACTAATTAACGACTTGTGGTACAGGAAGACAGAATGTCGATGGCCGCAAGAAAGTGAAGAGTGTGTGTTTTATTAGTTGTTTTCTCTTTGTGCGCGGAGCCCTAATCCCAAGATGGCAGACCGTATCCATTTGTTCTTTGTCTCTCTGCTTCCACCTACCGCTCGACTCAAAATATGAGTGTAGTTCCGGGACTTGCAGGGCCTAGCCGCCAGCCTTCCTTCCGGTGAGGGACTGTAAAGTGGAGTTCCCAGTGTTCAAGAAGTGCTGCCGACTAGACAGCAAACCCACAAAATGGTCTATGAATTCCTGGGGTGCACTCCTGAGTTGTGAGTATGTGGCTCTAATTCACAGATTATACAAAACACACACACACTATAGCCTGTTAGAACTGAACTAAGTAATAAACCAAATCTGCATAGACCACTGGGCTGTACCTACTCCAGAAAAGTTTGGCAATAGAACTGACACTAAAACCACAGCACACAGAAAGATGGTTGATACTTGCAAGCTGAAAACATCCATGGATTGTCTGCAAAAACAGAAGTAGCCATATTATTCAACATATTTAAGAAGAAAGGGTCATAACATAAAACTCAAAATAACCAGATACAATCTAAAATCAGTTTATGAAGAAACAGGAAATCCTAATTCCCATAGGAAAAGACAATAAATACCTGTGATTAGATGGCATAGATCTTCTAACAAATATTTTAAAGCAGTTGTAATAACACCTCAAAAAATAAGGACAAATACTCTAATTGAATAGAAATCTAGGAAGTGTCAGTAAATAAATGAAAGATAAGGGAAGACCACGTTGTAATTTTAGAACTTATTATTGCATTAACAAAACAAGATAAACCAAAGCACTCCATGCACTCAACCCTAGAACAGTAAGGACAGAGGCAAAAGCCAGTAAATTTGAATAGAAAACAATTGTAATGACCCACTCAGAAAAACAGAAAGTGTCCTTAAAGGTGAACAGTCTCAGAAACCAACAGATCTAACATTCATATCTCTTCAGTATCAGAAGAGAAGAATGGGAGAAAAAGGGGATGGGATAATTTGAAGAGTAGGTAGCTAAAAACTTCCCAAATTTAGCAAAGCATACAACTCTATGGATTCAGGAATTTAAGCAAACCTTAATCTGGATAAACTAAAGACATTTGAATGGTTATATTTTCTCATCAGAAATCATGGAGGCCAGAAGAAATGGAATGACATTTTTTTTAAATGCTGAAGCAAATAACCATCAACCCAGAATTCTTTTTGCAATAAAAAAATATATACTTTCGGTATGAAGGTAAAATAAACACATTCTCATTTGAAAGTAAACTGAGACTTTCTAATGGAAATTACACAGAATAGAAATGATACCAACAGGAAACTTGGAACATCAGAAATGACAAAACAACAGATATTTTCACCATGTGCTTGAATAAATATTTTATAGTTCTACAGAAAACACTACAAAAATACTATACATATAACATAATAAAAATACAATACAGTAGATGATATAGAATACTAAAATAAAAAGTCTAACCCAAAAGAAGGCAGGAAGGAAGAAATAAATAAAGGATGAAAATATTGGAAATAAACAGAAAACAAATTATGAAATGGTAAACATATCTTTCAAAATATCAATAATTACCATAAAGGTGAAGGGTTTAAATATATCAATTAAAAGCCATAAATTATTAGAATTGATTAAGCATAAAAAAACCCCAATTATATGCTAACTATAAGAAATTTACTCCTACACTTGATCTTAGCCAAAAGGCCGAGAAGTGATTAAGAAATTTACTCCTAATATGATATAGCCAGGTTAACAATAAAAGGATGGAGAAAGACACAACATGCACCAAAGTTCAAGGCAAAGAAATTCACCAGGAGTGATGAGGAATGCTACATAATCATAAAGGGTCGAATAACCAAGAAGACAGAACAGTCCTAAAGCTACATGCCTCTGGCCACACAGCTTCAAAGCTCATGAAACCCAATTGTCAAATAATAGACCTGAAAAGACCCACAATTATAGTTGCACATTTCAACAGTTCTCTCAAAAATTGATAGATCAGTGGACCAAAAAAGAAAAGGAAAAGGTATTAAAGAACGGAACAATACTGTCAACCAATGGGACTGTTTCAACAGAGCAAATATTCCAGTGTGAGTAGAAACACAGGCCAGGGATTGAGAAATAAAGAAGCACACACTAGAACTAAGGAGTCAGGCATGGTTAGGGTTAGAAGAGTGACATCATTACATGTGCTCTAAAATTTCCTAGATGAAAACGTTGCAGGAGACAGAAAATGGTGAATCTGGAACTAGAGCACTACCTGTCCAAATTTTTCGGACCAGAGTAGCATGATTTCTTCTGAATCCCTTGAGCTTACTGCCACAGGGAAGCTCCCAATAATTATGCACAGAATGACTAGAAAGGAAGCAAAAGATCCCAAAGAGATGATCAGAAGTGAAGAACAGTATTCTGCAGGTCATTGGATATGAAGATGGGGAAGAGAAAGGGCTAAACTCAGACGACAGGTTCAAGAAAGGGTGAGAATTAGTGTTGAGTGACCGGAAGCTCAAATCCACCCTTGGTAAATATTTGATGTGTGGATAAATGCACTTGAGTGGAGAAGAAGCAAGGAGACAATGAGCTGGAGCAGAGGAAGTGCACATTTCAAATCCAAATATTCTATTTCCCAGTTCAAGCTTTGCTATTTGGCAATGGCTCTGAAACTTAGAAATGACGTTTAACCTTTCTGAGCTGCCCTTTAATCTGAAAAGTGTAGACAATGATATATAGGAATTTCTGATACAATTTTAGGTGTCCTTTAAATTGTTATTTCTTACACAGCCACACATGAGTTTTCCTCCTTCATTATTTCCCAGCTCTAACTGTGTCTGAGAAGAACAGTTTCATCTTGATAGTAACAACTTTCACACTAGAAAAAGCAAATTCATGAAATCAGAAAGCATAACAGAGCTGACTGGAGAGAGAGAGGATGCCAACAGAAGATAGGAAGGGGAAGATACAATGAAAAAAACAAAAGGAAAAAACTATTAATAAATTATTACATAGTAGATCTATATACAAACATATTAATAATAACATTAAATGTAAATGACCTAAACACATTAATTAAAAACCAGAAGAGATTATGTAAGGTGTAAGAATGAACAAAACTTCTGAGGAAGGGAAGGGAAAACCAAGTTACTGAAACACAAGAGAAAAAAAGCTGCAAAAGATGGGTGCTGCTGTCCCTGGTTGTTAACATGCAGACAGTTAAGCAAATATTGCAAAGGCTTGGACTCGGTCGCTTCTGGGTATTGAATCCTGTAATAGTAGCATCAGCTGATGCGGCGTGATTTCCAAGCAGTACTGATCTTTTTCTTTAAAAGCTGTAAATTAATAAAGTAGATTGGAGAATAAGATTTGATACTTTAAAAGGAAAGAAAAGTAGAGCTAACATGTGCCTTCTTAGCACAGCTGGCAGTGCATCAGCTTCATAATCTGAAGGTCCTGAGTTTGAGCCTCAGAGAAGGCAAAGGCTTTTGGTTGTGCAGGGACACATGGAAAAAAAAAAAAGAAAAAGAAGGCAGAGAACAATGCAACCATGGAACTGTTGAAATCAGTTCCTACAGTTCCCAATGATTTGGTAAAAAGGGTAGGAGGAAAATTTAGATTATACCAGGAAAATGTGTGATTTATCTTCCGACTCCTCTGATGAAGGTAACAGAGCAAACTGTCTTCCTTCCAAGGAATGCCTTAATCTGAGCACATCAGGGTCTCAGTCGAGAGACGTGCTCAGAAAGCCGAGATGGTTAACCAGTAAAGCCAACCAGGTTGGAAGGTTTATCCTGGAGAGAAACAATCTAAATTTGTAATTTTCACACCTACAATTTGACTGGGCCAAAATCCTTAAGAAGGATAGAAAGAAACAAAATATGTTCCTTTCAGTAATTAAAAAACAAAAACAAAACGTGATTCCATTATTTTCACACAGATAATTAGTATTTCTATTCAACATTTTACTGAAGGTTCCAGCTGGGGCATTGGGCAATAAACTTAAACAAAAAGCATCCAGGTCAGAATGGGAGAAGTTATACTATCTTTTTTGTGGATAACATGACTGTGTGTATAGAAAACCCTAAGAAATCCAATTAAAAATGTTAAATCTAATAAATGAATCTTTGAGGGCTGCAAGATATAAAAAATCAATTGTATTCCTATGTATCAGCAGTTAATCATCCATTTCTCTGCTTCTGGGGTTTGCCTTGAGATTATAAGACTGCACAGGAAGCAGCTGGGGCATGAGGCCCTTACCTGAAAATAGAGCCAGTCGATTAACCAGCCCTATAGCTTTCTTTCCCTCTATAATTATTACTGGGTACAATCATAAATCCCACTTATTGTAAATAAACCAGTCACTTTGATTCTATAGAAAATAAGAATTTGAGATGTACATGGCTCGATACTGTATTCACTGCAGATCAGTGTGGGGTGGGAATTACTTGGAAGGGCTCTCTCCCGTATTAGTCTCAGCAAAGTTCAGAGTTTCAGACTTTTCCTGACTTTGATCTATTAGGCATGCCCTGCCCTCCCCAACATCCTGATCCTAGAGATATATAGCACCTCTCTGAGCCTCATAAAAATGGAACTAATCACTATATATTGTCGTCATTTGACCTAACTATTGGGTGTAGACAGCATGGATTTCCATAGAGTTGAGAAGCCCATTTGGAGCATAAAACATACTCTTTCATTCCACACACATATTTCACAATCTTCATTTTCTTGTTCAGTCTTTCAAGCATCCTACCCAGGAGAAGCTTGTAATCAAATGAGGAAGACCGCCAAGAAGCAGACATTCACGATAGGGATCCAAGAACACTGCTAGACTTGAATTTTCATTCGTGTTACTATGACAGTTTCAATTGTCTTTTTAAAAAAAGTCTATCTATGGCCTGTATGGGGATCAAACCCACAACCTTGGCATTATTAGCACCACGCTCTAACCAACTGAGCTAACCAGCCAGATGTGTAAAAGGTCTTCTTATCTCTTAACAGATATTTAAAGATAAATAATGCAATCTAATGAACGTTCTTTCAAATTTGTCTTGAGGTAGGATTCTCCATTTGTTCTAAGCCTAGCATCTCGGTAAAAGAGAGTTCTCTAGACGGGAGCATTTACAAGTCACCTTCTTCTGATTCATGACCACCACAGAAGGACTGCCGTAAGACCGAGTCATTCCCTCCGTCGAGGTGGATGGACAGAAATCGACTTGTGGCTTCGGTGTAATTCCCACAGCGTTTTTTGTTGATAGCGCCACAAACACTCCCTGGTGAACTCGTGTTCACCAAACTGGAAAGCCACTCCCATGCTTCTATTTGAAGACCCTTTAGACAAATGTGTTCATTGCAGTCTTCCACTTCGCATTTCCATTCTTCGTTACGAAACTGGCTCTGGCTGCTGACACCTTATTTATGCACAAGAAGACTCTGCTTTAAAGCCCTTACTAGCATCCTCTGACGCCCAAGCTGCTCGGCCTCCGGAGCTGGATGCCTTCGGTCCCGGGAGAAAGAGCTCCTCTCGGCGAGCGGCGAGTCCTCTCCCCAGCGTCTGCGCGCAGGGATCCCGGGGTCCTCGGGACTCGCGGGCAGCAGTGGACGGAGCAGGGAAGCAAGTCCGCGCCCTGCAGAGAAAAAGACCTCCCCCCGCAGTCCTTTGTCTGGGCCGACCCTTCTTCCCGCCGCGCCGCGCTGGAAGCTCTGCTCCCCTCTCCTCGCGGGTCCCCTCGGAGCTGTGCCCTCCTTGCCCTGCGCGCCGTGCTCAGACTGGACGTGGTCTTCGTACACAGGCGGCGCGTTTTCCTCCGCCGAGCCTGTCCGAGTACTTAACCTGGGATAGAGACGGGAAGAAGCCTACCAGGATAGTGGCGGGATAATGGGGTAACGGGATCACTTACAACTTTTGTTTTGTTTCTGGGTCTTTTTTGGAAAAGGGAAGGAGGTGTGCAAAATATTGACTGATCCTTGCCTCTAGGTATTTATAAATAAATAGATATTCCCACTCCATCATTATATGATTACTTAGTGTAAAGGAGTTCCCTAATTTGATAATCTCTTAAAAAGCACTAAATTCTAGTGATTGCCTCTAAAAGAACTGCTAAATTCGATTAGCTGAAACTGAACCATTATTAGTTCTGGAATTGAGGTAATAGGCGATAAGTAATATGAACTTCTTCAGGAACTGCAGCCTAGTAAAGGAGATAAACAGTTCAGTCAAACTTCAATTTTAAGACAGTCTAGGGCTGGGGATTTAGCTCAGTGGTTCCGGCGCCTGCCTTGCAAGCACAAGGTCCCGAGTTTGATCCCTGGTACCAAAAAAATTTTTAAAAATAAAAATAAAATTAAAAAGACAGTCTAGAAATTGATAGTGAGCACGGACATCTGAAAGGATTTCCCATCTTTGAATACAGAGAAGGGTAAAGGCAGTGTAGGAAGGGCATGGTGAAACTGTGTTTCAGAAACAGAAATAATGCTGCTATGGTCTGGATATCTGTGTCCCCCTAAAATGCACATGGTGAAATCCTAATGCCCAAAGCAATGGTACAAAGTGCTGGGCCTTTGGGACAGTAATTAGGGCGTGGAAGTGGTGCGTTTATCAATGAAATTAGTGTCCTTTCATAAGAGGCTCAAAAAAACTTGTTTGCCTTCCCATGACATGAAGAAACAGCAGGAAGGCACCATTTATGAAGCCGAGAGCAAGCTCACACCAGACAGAATTTGACATCATCTCCATCTTGGACTTCCCTGCCTCTAGAACTACAAGAAAAAAAATTCCATTCTTTATAAGCCACACAAATTATAGTGTTTATGGTAGTTGAAACAATACTACAAATGACAAGGCCTATGGTAGATCCAGAATCTGGTTTTTGATTTAGTTTGAAAAGTGAGAAACAGTTATGTGTGAATCCTAGTAGGAAAAATGATGTTTGATGTATTAAACATTGAGATAATATCATTCAACACTGGTAAAGAAGGAATCACAGAACTAGATTTGTAATTGAAACAACACTCTGGAGTGTGTACTATGAAGAAAAATCTGAAAAGGGTAATGTGATAAGTAAAAAGGATTGTTAAAATATTGCTGGTAAGATAGGAAATTTGAGCTAAGGGGGCATCAAAGAAACAAGACAATTAGATAGGTACATGATACATTCCCTGAAATAGATAATATGCTGTCTCAATAAACGTAAAATGATTACTGTTATAGAAAGTGTGATCTATGATAGAGTAACATTAAAGTATAATTTAATAACAACAATAGGTATCTGGGAAAGTCTCCAAATATTTGAAATTAACATACTTCTACATCATTTATTGGTCAAAGGAGAAATATTAGTACATGTCCTGCCGAAGCAAGCACAAATCTTTTTTTTTTTTTTTTTCGTACCAGGGATCAAACTCAGGACCTTGCGCTTGCAAGGCAGGCGTGGTGCCACTAAGCTAAATCCCTGGCCCCAAAGGAGAAATATTAAAGCAACAGACAATAAAAGAAATTTGGATCTGAGTGATAATAAAAAATATGAATTTTCTGGAGTACAAATAAAGCAGTGATAAAAGAAAATTTATAGCTGAAAATAATTATACTCGCAAAGAAAAAGTTCTAAATACCATGATGAAAGACGTCACCTTAATAAACTAGATATAACATAAAAAGTTAAATCCAAAAATTAAAAAAGAAAATATAATAAAAGGAACAAATCAGCTGGGATAATGGCCCAGACCTGTAATCCAAACATACTGGGAGGATCACAAGTTTGAGCCTCCCCTAGGCAGTTTAGTGACTTAGCATGATCCTGTCTCAAAGTTAAAAAGCTAAAATGGTCTGGGAATGTAGCTGGGGTTCAATTCCCAGTATTATCACCAAAAAGGGGGCATATATCAGTGAAATTGGACATAGATGGGAAATAATGAAAATCAGTGAAAAAAATTGATTATTTAAAAGGTCAACACAATATCCTAGCTAGATCAATAAAAAAGGATACAATTTCCCCAAAACAAGAGAGACATCACTAAAAATACTACAAAGGTTAAAAAGAATCCTAAGTAATTGTATATGGAATAATAAAAGAAATGGGAACCTATGAACAACTTCTTGGCAAAAAATATGTTAGACAAAATGGAAAAATTCCCTTAGGACACAAACTACCTAAACATGCACAAGAGAAAATAAAAATATTGTATGTTTTAAAGACATAAGACTTATAAATTTAAAACTTTCCCCAAAGCCACTGGTGATTTCAATGATGCAGTTCCTTAAATATTTTTGGAAAAAAGGAATACAATCAATCATAACATCTTCTAGATAGAAGAGAATGGAATGCTTCCTGTCTTGCTTTATGAATCCTGCATAACTGATACAAAAAGCAGAGAAAGTCATACAGGAAAGAAAAATTATAGGCTGGTAACCTTCATGAACTTAAAGGTAAATGTTTTTAAAAGGGCTAAGGATTTAGCTCAGTGGTTCTGCCACCTGCC